TTCACTGTATAGTTACGAAGTCTGTGATGATACGTTTACAAAAGAAATTAAATTCAAGACCTCAACATATGTAATAATTACCAGATTAAATAAATACATTAAAAATATCCACTTTCTCATGTTAAATAAAATGTTAACCATATTTTTTTCAGTACACTTGATTGTCAGTTTTGGAAATTTAAAGATGACTTCATCCAGAAAGCTTGATAGAGTGATGTGCTACTACTGGATGCTAAGTATGCTATTTTAGGTGATCGTTTCCTTAGAATTGATAATCCTTCCAATCCTACGTGTCCAGATTTACAAATGTCTGAACGTCACTGTGTAATCATGAAGGTTAATGAAGACTTAGCCAGTATATTTTACTCAGCATACTTCAGAAATATCATAAACGTAATTAGGCTGAGTCGAGCTTTTTTAGCTCAAAAGGTGGATAGTGCTTTTAAGCAAAGGTTCACATATCCAGTTATATAGCATTATGATTAAGACAAATGTGTTAAGATCACCTTTAAGAATTACTTGCACTCTAAAGTTAGAGGCATACTGTAAGATATTGAGAACTTTGATGAATAACCTAGCGTCTGGCAAACTTTGGGGCAATTTCAGTAACGTTTATTCCCATAAAAGGTAAAATCGGATGAAGCTAGTAAAATAAAGTGACGACAACTCCAGAATACTTTCTACCAAAACCATAACTTCGAGTAAATACATGGAGAAATCACGTAGAACATGCCAGACAGTTAGCATCGAACTCGAGACGAGTATAGTAACAGTAGATTCTCTGTACAAGAAAAACTTACAATGTTCAGTCTTAGCAAAGAGCTTAACCATGAAGACAGATGCATAATAAAACCTACTAATACAACATAGTTCAGAGCTCAAAGAGAACAAAATCTCGGGTTGTCATCGATCTCGAAGTATGTAACTGAAATTGTGATAAAACCAAGATAATTCCAGCTTAGAAGCATTACATAAATTGTTAACCGTCTCAAGTGCCTAACTCACGTGAAGTGATAACCAACAAAAATAAACGAAGAATATAGGCCGAGAACATGTACTGTGATTGTTCGGATCACTCACTTAATATTAGGTCCTGGTCAAAACTAGAATCTCCCCATACTACAGTGTGATATCTTTATGGAATTAAACTACAGAATGAATTGAGCAATAATTTAACGATGATAAAAACACAACACTGGCTTGAAATAAAACTAACATTAGGAAAAGTCCACCAATAATGCACTGCGCTGATATTGAAATCATGCAAACAACTCCCATTGAAAAGCATACTAAAAGCTACATACGCGTATAGTAATCGGAAACATACAAACAGCAGTGACAATCCCAGCAGCTTTCAAACCATATTCAATAAGACGAGGTGAAATGGCCATCTGGTGAAATTTACAATTTTTGATAGGTTGTGTTCTGGGTAGTTGTGGAGAGCAGTGTGTAGAAGAAACTAGAACAGAAAAAACAAGACGGAAATTGAACCGATAGAACAATAAGCATATAAAAAACGCTTGCAATTATTTATAAAGGCAATCGACACTAAACAGCAATAACACAAGCGTGAGATTAAGGCAACTTAACAACTGTGACCAGACGCTAAGAGTATTATTTAAATTACCAACATGCGTTAATGAACACTTCAAGGTCTTTTATGTGATTCATAGGATGAGACAAACTACAAACTGTGGAATTTAATTAGTCAACTAATTGCTTCGTGAGATCTACATGCAGTTTGCAAAACTTTTCAATGCTTTTTTATGGTTCTAGTGCTGAAAAACGTACTAGTATTCTGGACAGACAACCTATTGTCTGTTTCTTAGGATCTGCGTCTGGTTAGTTATGGAGTCTTGATGATCTCAGAGAGATATAATTCTTCCTGTGCTTATTCTAGGTCTGAAGAAAAGAGCTTTGATCGATAATTGGTGAGATTGTTGAAAAGTGACACCTAGAATTTTTTTATCTTAGTACCTAAGGGAACATAGCGATAAATAATTCAGCAAAATAAATGGTTCAGCAACTCCTCAACATCGATGCTAACCTCATTAGATATTCAGATTCAGATTTGTGTAGTAAGGAGAGAAGGCCTACGGCCTATGTTATTCCTTTTCTAGTATGCTTCTGTGAGTGTCCAGTCTTCTCTTGAAAGAGTCAATTGAAGGTGCGGACACCACTGCTTCAGGCAGCAGGTTCCAAGTATTGATGACTCGGTGTGAAAACCTGTATGCCACGGGTATTTTGTTCGTTCTTGGCTTTTCTACTCGCCTGCTATGTCCTCTGAGGTGTCCCGATCTAGTGGGAAGAAAGAGAGAGAATAAGTTAGGTCCGAAATCATTTCTCAGTATTCTGTACATCAATATTAGATCTCCCCTTAGTCTGCGATAGGACAGAGTAAAGAGGTTCAGTTTTTCAAGCCGCTCTTTATATGATAAACCCGGAGTTCCGGAATTGCACGCGTAGCTGCCCTCTGTACCTTTTCTATTATGTCCGAGTCACCTTTAAACAGGGGCTTGCAGCCTGAACACAGTTCTCTAACTTAGTTCTCACTAAGGATGTGTATAATGTGGTGAACATGGTAGTATCAAGCTTAGTGAATGTCCTTTTTAAAGCCCAGAGGGTTCGAAACCCCTTAACTGCGACCTCCCGGCAATGGGCCGTCGTCTTAAGATCATTGCTCACTGTCACCCCTAGGTCCTTATGAGACCGGACTACGGGTAATGACACATCCCCTATGTTGTACGTATTAACCTTTGAATCCCCCAAGTGCATGTAGACACACTTTTCCGAGTTGATAGGCATTAGCCACTCTTTAGACCAGTTTATCATATTATTTAAGTCCGCCTGAAGAGTAAATGCGTCTTTGTCTCCAGTTATTACTCGCCAAATTTTTACATCGTCAGCGTATAATAACATTGGAGACTGTACTATACTTGTAAGATCATTAACGTACATTATAAAAAGTAAAGGACCTAAGACGGAACCTTGGGGTACTCCACTAAGTACTGGTCTCCAGATGGAGCACTTGGAATTTATTCTTACTTTTTGCCTACGACCTACTAGGAAATCCTTAATCCATTTTAAAAGAGGTCCGGCAATACCAAGGTTTGCCAACTTCAATAGCAGCCTATTAGTTGGCACCTTGTCAAAAGCCTTACTGAAGTCTATGTAGACAACATCCACTGAGTTTCCGTTGTCTAGCGCATTAATCCAGAGCTCCCTAGCTATAAGGAGGTTCGTTGTACAGGATAGACCCTTTCTAAAACCATGTTGTGCCATGTTCAGCAAGTTATTGGTTTCCATAAATGCTGTTATGGTCCGTTTGATTATTCTTTCCAGTATTTTAATTACAACACTGGTGAGGCTTACGGGTCTGTAATTTGATGGAACTTGTCGTGGACCTGTTTTATGTATGGGAGTGACGATTGCGTCCTTCCAGTCCATAGGTAACACACCTTGGTCAAGTGACATTTTGAATATCACAGTCAGTGGGGCTGCGATATATTGGGCAATATGTCTCAAGATTTTAGGGTGTAGTTCATCTGGTCCTGTTGACTTCTCCATGTTTAGGGTGCTAAGAGCCTTAAGCACATCGTTTTGGTCGAAGTCCACGGTGAGCAGCTGGTTTGTTGACTCTGTAATTGGGTCTGGTTCTTTCTCTAGAGGAGGTTCCTGAGTGAAAACTGCCCCAAAGTAGTCAGCCATAACCTCAGCTTTTTCCTGATCTTCCTCTATCATTTCAGATTCACTTCCTACTTTAATTAGGTTGGGAATCCAATGATGAATCCTTGTTCTGTAGTTTATGTACGAGAATATCCTCTTGGGCTGCTTGAGTGCAGATTCTGCCAGCTGCATTTCATATTTTCTTTGCGCTTCCCGAATTTTAGTTATACACTCGTTTCTTATCGATCTGTAACGTTCCATCGTACCCGCTGTGCCAAGGCGGATGGCAACATCCCAGCATTTCTTCTTTTGTCTTAGTAAGCGTCGAATATCCCGCCCTATCCAGGGATGTCCGTGCTTCTTTTTCTTTGGGACAGTCCAGGGTATGTATGGTTGAGTTACCCGATTGTATAACTGCCTGAATAGAGTCCATGCCTCTTGTACTGATGCCTTTGAGTCAATTTCCCAGTTCTCAGCCGATGCTGCGGAGTTAATTGCCTGCATATCTGCCTTCCATATGTTAGGACGGGCCGGCGCAATTGTTTGACAAGCAATCTCAGCCATGAATTTGAATAAGATGACTGCATGGTCACTTCTCCCAAGTGGTGGGAGAAAAGCCGTTTGACCAACGTCATCACCGTGTGTGAAGACTAAATCTAAAAGAGAAGAGTTTCTTAAGTCGTATCTTGTGGGATCTCTAATGTGTTGGAATAATGCTAGTCCAATCGAGGTTTCTAACAGTTTGGAGTCGAACGACGATATGGATGACCCTACTTCTAAGTTAACCCAGTTTATATATGGTGCATTAAAGTCGCCTACTACAAGGCTTTTACCGTTGTTACACCAGGACTTAAGTTTACTAAGGAGAAAATCATCTGCTACACATTCTGGACTGCGATAAACTACAACTACTTCAATATCTTGCCTTCGGCATTTCAACTTACATCTCACCAGTTCACATGTCCCTGAAACATGTGCTACTGTCTCAGCTAATCTTATGGTTAGGGTACTTTTGGTGTACAAATAACCCCGCCTCCCCTTCGGTTTAATCTATCAGCCCTACTGGTTATGAAACCAGTCAATTGGATTTCACTATCTAATACTTCTGACGTTAACCAAGTTTCCGAGACAGCGATAACGTCCGGTTTTTCTTTGTCCACCACTGACTTCAGCTCCGCCATTTTATTTAGTAGGCTGCGAGCATTTGTGTAGCACACTTTTAAGTCTGTGGAGAGCTTTCCCTTGCCACCCAGAGTGGCTTGGGGATCGTTTTGCTCCGAACTTTTACAATCTGAAAACCCTTAAGAACGAGGTTTCTTTCACCGTTTCGGCGACGCTCGTTTATTTCCGCTTCTGCAGCTCTTCTCTTAATACGATCAGCTAGGCTGAGGTCCTCACGGACATATATTCCGGATCCAATCAGTTTACGTGAATTACTTAGAATCAGGTTCCTTTCTTCCACCGTGTTGAATGTAACCTTTAGGAGGCGGTTTTTCTGAGGACTTTCGGAATCCACCTTTTTTCCTATTCTATAAAGCTTACAAATACTAACTCCTGAAACTGTATCTGGGAGTAGTTTACTTAATGATGTCTTAATATGATTGAGATCATGTTCAAATCTTGCCTTTGGTTCAGTATCTGAAGATTCTCTTATCTTATGAAAAATGACTGATCTATCAGAGAGATCTGTCTTTTCACGCGGTGGGGACTTTTTTTCTGATAACATCCCTTCCAATGTTTTGCTGACCAGCTGCGTTTTGCCTACAGCCTTTTTCTTCTTATTTTTTTTCTTCTTACCGAAGTCCATTTGTCACCACTCAGAACAGCCACACCTGGACTATGTGGAACGGTGACAGTTTTATCCGGATCTTCTATTTCGACTAGAGGTGTATGACTGCCGATGTCATTATCAAGCGACACTTCATTTCTCGTTAATGTCAACGGAGATTTCACGTTCCCGTCAACCGCAGTCAGGTGTTTAATGGGTCCAGTAGCAGCACTTACTACACTAACACATTCTTCATCGTCAGTGCTCCTGTTATCAGTGCTTCCGCCACCATTTTTCTTGCAGGCCAAAGCCAATAGGCCCATAGCCTCCTGTATTAGTACCTTTTTATCCGTACAGCAGAACATACAAAGCCAATGCGAGTTAGGCTTCGAGCATCTTTTGTAAGCCGTCGGACTTAGTCGTGTACACATTTTGTGATACCACTTTTTACAGTCGTCACACTGCATTCCCTCCTCAACGGAGAACAAACAATTTGGTTGCCCACATTTGTGAGTCTTACCAACCATTTTAATTCGATTTAAAAGGTTTAAAAACAAAAAATGATAACAATGTGAACACAAATGTTAGTCAAGGACTAAAAACAGGTACTCAGGACAAAATTTAGTAAAAAATTTCAAACTTTAACCATTGAACTCTTAGTTAAAGTAGACCAAGAATGCTTTTTAGTGCAATAAGTACCAAAAGCAAGTATAATCACAACAAGTACAAAACTCACTTCCCTTTTTGAAACTAGCGCACATCCAAATTAGTTTTACTGGAAATAACCTTGTTGAAAGCTCTCGTTTATACACCACCGGATCACGATAAAGTATTCTATGCTTCTCAATCCTTGCGACAAACGCTTCTTAACAAACCGATGACTTCCCAAATATATCTTCGAACTTTTGTTTTTGGTGGAGTTTTGTTCTCTGAGCTGGATGGTTTGGTCGTGGAGCTTTCATCGTTCTTCTGAACGACATCATCAGCACAAACTTCAGATAGAAGTCTATCTGAAGTTTGTGCTGATGATGTCGTTCAGAAGAACGATGAAAGCTCCACGACCAAACCATCCAGCTCAGAGAACAAGACTCCATCAAAATCATCCACCTGAGCTACAAATCTTCTCCATCATCTCGAACTTTTGTATTCCTTACCCATAATTTGGCTGGTTTTGTATGTTTTGATTATTAAGGTCCAATAGGAAAAAGTATTGTCAAACGCTAAATAATTATGGCGGCTTGAGAAACGAATTAAATGTATAGCCTTCTTTGAAATATTCATAGAGAGTTGTCGTCAGTTTTGTTCCCAGTAGCGAATCATACGAAAACGTTCTAATGGATTTTCGTGTGAGCTCTTTTGTGCTGGTAGGAACGAATGCCCCAAATATCACATATAGTGTTGTCCAGGTTCGATTCTGTGGTTGAAAATATGATGCCAGGGTCCATAGAGGAGACGAAATAAAATCTTTCAGTGCAGAATTACCAGATCGTACGCAAAAGAATTGGTGATGAAGTTGCTCAAGCGCGAACTCTGAAAGCGGTAAAACGTTCTCACGTGGTATACATTCTTTTCTGACGAGTTAATCAGTAAGATGTATTATACTGAGGCTATCAAATTTCATTGTATATCAAGTTCATTTCATACATGTGAGGTGGAGTCTGAAGGTCATCTACCAGTTAATACATATTCATCGTGAACTTTTCAAAATATTTTATATAAGTCCTCAATAATCAGTATTAACTGGTTTCAACCTTATGATTATACTAATTGAAACGTGAATACCCAAGTGAACGTTACTGTCGTTCTTAATAACTTGACACCTAATCTCTTGAATCATTCATATACACACAGTCACTCATATTGCATTAATCCAGTTAATACTTAGTAAATATAAATTCTCATTTTCCATCTGGTAAACAAACTCTCTACTCTCTCAGCCTTCAGTCTGAAGATGCCACAGGTATTTGGAGTTTGACAACGCTATAACCAGTAACATCTAATATGAATCGTACCCATCAAGTGAAATTAAAAGACAGAAGCGAGGAGGTTCGAAGATAGGCTATCAATATATCGTGGATCGTCTGATCTAATCTGGCTAGCGATTGCAGGGGTTGTTGAGCATGGCGTTCCCACTAGTGATCTTGTGCGAATGCATGACAGAGCGCCTTCGGTTAGGTGAGTCCACTAAAACTAATGGGGTAAGCATCCAATGTCGAAAACTTACAGAGCTATTTACTTTGAGAATTTGTTTACCGCTACAATTCTTCACTAGTAATTTCAACGAGAGAGAAATATGACCTAATTCTTCTGAACCGACCCAAAGTAGAAATCTGTAATCCCTATATCCGACGAGTCAGTGTTTGATAAAATCAACCCTTCATCTTCCGAACACCTCGCTTCCTATCCACAAATTTCACTATCACTGCCTAATTTTCCGCACGACGACACATTCATCTCCTCAGGTGGTTTGCCGACGGTAGGACTGGGCGATGAAAATATATTATTCGCTGGTACACCGAAAAATCATTGAAGTGTACCCGTTAGCAAGATTCATTAGGGCCAAAACCCTGAATTTCGAAAACTTTACCTCATACAAACCAAAATACTGATCACTATAGTGCTGATATCCTTCAGCTACGAAGTTCTTTCGCCAAAATTAATCGTAAACGTGACCAGTGTAAGATCCATTTTGAATGTTTTGTGTGTTGGTGAAAATCCCTCCATGTATATACTTGTACTTTGTTCCTATTGATCCCCTTAGTTGTACATTGTTGTCTTTTGATTACATTTGAATTGTTAATACTTGTATTTTTTATTATAGTTTTTGTTTTTCTTACGCATTCACTGAGTTTGTGTTTCTTCCCGAACTGCATCTGTGTTGTTTTACTGGACACTCGTTTTTGGCGGTAGCCATATTGATTTGCTCCTCCTTTTGTGTGTTCTATCCAGTCAGGATAGGATAACGTTCGTTTGTTGTGACTGGTAATTTTCCCTCATCTTTCATCAACTCCTTTATTTATTGTAATTTAGATTTATTGATTGAACAATTATTGGTTGAATAGCCGGGTGGTAATATTTGTTTAGGTAACGATTTACATTTAAATTTGTGATGAATTATAGAACCGCTATTTACCCGATTACTTGTTTTCATTTCGACGGGAAAGAGCGCGTGTCTAACGTACCTAGACGGTTATTCTTCAACATCCAAACCGTGGTTTGGATTCTACAGTTCTAAACAATTATTACTTGGCCGAAATCCCTTGGCAATCGTTCGCGGATTTTGATTATCGTTTCTGGAAATAATTGGTCGTTTCGCTTATAATGACAACTAATCGTCGAAGGAAATCAAGCTCAAAGTTCGTCGATGTTAATGAAGAATCCCCTATTACCAAGCAAGTGCCTTTTGATGTCCTTAAGTGTCATGGTTCAGATTCGAATAGGGTTGATTATCATGGTAGTGACTCTAGTCTTAATTCGATGACAGATGACGTAAAAAATCTTAGTTTAAAGGAGAAGCAAGGGCTTGAATTATCAGGAAAGAGCATGTTGCCTATAGCGCCTGTTGTTGGCCCAGAACTGCCAAAGGTTGAGTTGAGTTATTTCGATGGAGAGCCAAGAGGATACTGGAAGTTTATAAGGCAATTTGAGACGTATGTAGCATCAAAAGTCACCGATGATAGCCAACGTTTGCTCTATCTCATGCACTATTGTAAGGGCAAGGCGAAGACACTGATACCGCGCGCTACGGACTGGACGTTACTTTCAGGCCGAGGTTTTTAGTTTCACTTTTCTAGGATTCTCGCATAGCTGGATGAATTATTTTTTCTTGGAATTATGGAAAATAACTCTATTCTTAACTATTAGCATATAAACTGTGAATTTCATGCCATATGATAAGTTCTGAGTTCAACTTACAGTATTTATGATCATATTCATACAATAATTCATAATCATATGATTACATATATTCATTTTGACTATACGATCAAACTATACTTTGAAACCGTATATAATCATATTTGACGAAGATTTGCATTTCATATCTGTATTCTATTTCTTAAGGAATATATGATTATATCGTATTTGAATGCTTTAACCCACGTACTTTATGTATCTACAGGATCTATTCAAACCTCTACCTAATATCAAGAAATATATATAACCGTGTATGTTAAAGGACTGTATTCACTATTTTATTAACTATCATTTAAATCGTATTTGGATACTATAAATTATTTCATTTCCGAAATTACCTGTCCAATTCGGTGAGTCTGTCATAGTTTGTTTTTTTGACAGTGTTTTTTTCCAAAAAGCTGTTTCATATATTTGTTCAAGAAGCAACATAATAACTTTAGACGGTAATAATCTTCTAAACTACTTATCTCTGCACCTCCCAATTTTTACTAATACGGACTTTCAGTTTATATATGTATCACATACCGTACTTTTTTTGATTGTTTGATACTAATTATCGACATTTCTAAATTACTTTACTATATAAGGCTATCTTTCGTGTCATATATGTTAAAATTTATACAACTTGCTCCTTTATATTCTATTTTGCCTCCACACAGATACTGACATAAATACTTCATCTCCACTACTATCTTCCTGCCATTGTCATCTTTTGTTTTTAACACCACTAATCCTCACGATACATTCACTCTTGGTTAAAACATAGATTTTGATTTTTAGACTAACTTGAGCCCTCGGAATTGATTTTTTCACCCCTATTTCCAACATTCTGTTCAAACCACTTGCTATACGTCACTTTATCATGTCACAAAAGAAAATGAAGACCCCTGCTCCTAGGCGTTCAGCCAAACGTAGGAAAACGACACAATTTAACACCTCTACCGATACGATTTCCAACAGTTTCAACGAGACGTGCCACTCCGTTCATCCGGAAGCAGACAGGCTTTTACCAGTTGTCTCCATTCCAGACATGTTGAAAACTCTGATGGTAAACAGTGATGATAATCGCAACTGCAACTATATGGATGCTATAAAGAAGTTGCAAGTAGACATGAACATTCTCAATCCGCTTAAATATCTCATCAACCCCAACCTCACAGAGACTCCAGATCAAATGAATGACATAAATATTTTCCTAGATCGTGTTGCATCAGAGGTATTTGAAAGAATAAGACGATCTAGCAATGCAATTGTGTTTAATATACCGGATACACATGCCCTTAAAAATATCAAATCTAGTCTGCTTAGAGCCAGCAATATGACACA